CCTCTTTATCCAAGTTGTCCCTATTCCTTTCCATATACTTTCCATGGTGGCCATATGTGGATTAAGTAATTTGTGCAATCAATTACTACCAAGTTAGCTGGGCAGCTAAGGTGGCCGTTTTATTTTCATTCGGAAAGTATTTGCTCTCCTTTTGATAATATGCTTTAGCATGTGCTACCTTTTTACTGATTAGAATGATTTTTTTCATGAATATGGAAAAATTCCTTTGGTCTTTATATATACATATATATAGTCTAATATTATATACTTGGGATGTGCGATAGATTTACCTCCACGTGGTGCACTCTGGGCAACGTATATTCATACGGCAAAAAAGTCTATTAACCGGTAGTTGACCTCTGACTTCAAACTTCCATAACCCCACTGTATGTCATATTCCACAGCTACCACAGTACTCGAATCACCTTTCTCTGCCTTTGTGCCTGCCTGTCTGTTTTTTAAATCTGTGAATCGCTCTTCTTTGCCCCTGTCGAATTTTTCTCACTTTAATGTTCCTCCCTTCTGTGAAGCCCGAAGTCAACTAAAGGGCTAATGATAACTATCAAAATGCCTGCCATTTGAAATAAATAAATAAATATTATATACTTTCCCGTAAGCCATACTGAAAGCTTCCACAATGCTTTTGACGGATCCAATTATTCTCCTGGGTACTTGGCCCTTGCCTTCTACCAGGGCTTCTGGGCTTTTGGAGGATGGTACATTTCAAGTTCTTCCCAATAACTACCTTTATATAATTATCACATTTTTGCGCTTTGTTTTAGGAATTATCTCAACTTCTTGGTTGAAGAGATGCACAACCCTGGAAAGTTAGTAGTGTTAAATAGTATAATGAACTATACGCAAAAATTTCTATTATACTAAATTGAATCACGTTATTTTCTGTGACATTTGAGAGCAATCGGGTTGTACTTGATATGACCTTAGATATTGAGGAAACTGATCATTTTATGTAATTGTTATAGTCAGGCTGAATGTCTTTTGTTTAGCATGTATCGCTGTGTGTGTGCTACGTTCCAGGAAGTAGTTATTAGAATATGCAGTCGCAGTCGACTCTCGGAAATGATTGTCAAAAGGATCAATTGCGTCGCTCAGTTACTCGATCATAAAAGGTGTTTTGAATTAGTGAAATTTCTCTTCTATTGTTTATCTCTTTCCTCATCTGGCTATCGGGGAATTGTGTTGAACTGCTGACATCTCTATCATTGTCACTCAAACAATCGATTGATCTTGTATATATATATATATATATATATATATATATACATGTGAGAATGGCATTAAATTTAACTAAATAATGTCAGGAAGTTAGAACCTGGCTTGATCCCTAAATGAAATTTATTAGAAGGAAGTGGTTTAGCTAAAATAAGTCATCCCATTTCTAGACGTTCGAAAAAGGGGGTCGATGGGAGCACACCACTGATGTACTTGTGATAGTTGTCATTTAATTGTAGGAATGCAATAAGGCGCTTTATAACTTTTCAGAGATCTACCAAGGTCAATTGGTCTTGGTCTTTTCCTGGTTACTGTACTCTATATGCTCACTAATGTTGCCTATCTGGCAGTTCTCAGTCCTGACGAAATGCTGGAGGTCGCAGTTGGTT